GTCGCTAAAAGATATCTTTAGCGACCAATTTTTTTTTTCCTCTAATTTTTTTGTCGCTATTGACTCATTTTCTTGTAGTGTAAATAATGCTTGTTATGTGCTAAATAGGGTGAATATTATATCCAAGTTAAATAAGACACCTTATAAGTTACTTAAGGGTAGGACACCAAATCTTTCTTATTTACATATCTTTGACTTTATTTGATTTTTCCTTATTAATGGTAAATTCCCTCTTGAAAAATTTGATTCAAAGTCAAATGAAAGAGTCTTCTTAAACTATTCCTCTGTGGGTAAAGCCTATAGGATCTTTAATAAGAGGACCTTAATTATAGAGGAATCCACCCATGTTATTTTTTATGAATCTAATAAATTAGTTGAGTCTAAGTTAGAAGATGGTGATCATATAGAAATTACCCGTGGAGTAGAAGTTGTTGACATAGGATGTAGAGAAGAACCTCAGGAGTAGTTTCCTAGATAATGGAGATACTCATCTAATCATGTGAGGGAACTTATCTTAGGAAATCCTCCTATAGGGGTTAGAACTTGGCAAGGACATAAGGAGGAGGTTAGTCATACTACATTTATCTCTATGATAGAACCAAGAAATATAAATCAAGTCTTAAGGGTAGTGTAAACACCACTTTATTCATTAAGAATTTAAGAGAAGAAATTCTCATAGTTCAAATACATATAGAAGATATACTATTTGGATCCACACAAAAAATCTTTGTAATGAATTTTCAGAAACTATGAGTGGGTAATTTAAATTGTGTATGATGAGAGAGCTTACATATTTCCTTATATTTAATACAAAATAGTGAGAAGATGATACATTCCTTAGTAAAAAAAAATTTAAGAAGATATTAAAGAAATTCAAGATGGAAGGTGCTAAAGGGATCATACACTAATGAGCTCAATCATTCAATTAGACAACGATGCTTATGGAAACTCAGTAGATCAAATGAAGTATAGGAGGATAACAGGATCACTTTTGTATTTGACTACTAGCAGACCTGATATAATATTTAGTATTTTTCTATGTGTTAGAATACAAGATGGTTCTAAAAAATCCCACCTGACAACCGTTAGGAGAATTCTAAGGTATCTTATAGGCACCCAGAACTTAGTATCTGGTACCTGATGCACAACAACACTTTTAAAATTATAAGATATTCAATTTTATACTTTGTAGGGTGTAGGTTAGATATGAAAAGTACATATGATATGTGCCAATTTATAGGATAATCCTTAGGTTTCTGATTTGGTGAAAAGAAAAACTCAGTATCCCTATCCACCACTAAAGTGGAGTATATAGCTATAGGAAGTTGTGTTGCTCAAGCCTTATGACTGAAGCAATAAATCCTAAACTATGGACTCTACATAGGATTAATACCTATAATGTGTGATAACACAAGTGTAATTTATATTACCATAAATTCAATCCATCATTCTTGCACAAAGCACATTGACATTAGACTTCACTTCATTTGGGATTAAGTAGCAAAGGATGACATAGAGTTGCAACATGTAAAAATAGAGAATTAATTGACAGATATTTCTACTAAACCCCTAATCTTTTACACCTTTAGTGCACTTAGGACTAGACTAGGTATCATTGATATAAATGCTTAGGAAAATAAGGGTAGAGGAAAACTAAGATATGATTGTGTGCTTGTGTGTTCATGTATGTGTTTGTTTTTGTGAAATGAATATACTTATTTTTTTAGTGTGAATTGTATTATTTATTTGTGTATCTTATTTATAAAAGATTCCCAAAACATTACACACTAAAAATTAAAAAAATAAAATCACAATTGTACTGTACGATGCACTTTATACCGTACAATTACCACAAATCTTAAAATCCTCACCATCCATGAAAATAAAGGCCTAGATTTGACCAATTATTGGAGTTTTTATTGGATGAACACCCATTCGTACTATATGATACACATGTTAGTAGCCATATAATGAACAAAATTGGATAGTATTAAATTAAATAAAATTTTGAACTGTATGAATGCATGTTCATATTGTACAATTATTTTAGTCAAAGGTCATACCAGAAGCTTCCTCTGGATGAACAATTTTACATTGATCATCCAGTGTGATTCTAATCATACTGTACAATTTGACAACTTTTTTCCTGTTTAACCAGGATGAATTAATTTCTTCTGATCATCGAATATGATTTATATCAAATTATATGATTGGAAGAAGCCTATATAAGCAGGCTATTCCAAACATTCCAATCACACAATCCTTCTCCTCATAAGCTTCTAAATATTATCCTTAGAATTATGATGGCCAGTGGAAAGAGATCTCAAGCGCTTGCAGGAAGTTCTTCACATTGATTTATAGATGATAGGATAATCACAGTTAAAGATGAGTCATCTTACCATAGATATAAGGTGGTCTGCATCACTCCATCTCGTATCCTGGATCAAAATATTCACAATTATCAGGTTCTAAAACTATTTATAAACACTAGTCTTAAATTTATTTTGACTCTGCCTTTTTCTTTCAATTTTGCACTTCTTTATGAATTTTTTTCTGAATCTGAAAATCAATGCCGAGTATACCACCATGCATTCATATGTCTGTTGGCATCATGTAGAGGTCACCTCTTAAGACCTTACTAAAATTTTATAAACTAAGGGAGATTATAACTAAACTACTGTGAATCTAACTCTTAGAAATGCCCTTCTGAATCATCACCAGCCACTTTCCATACACTTAATCATAATGCACATATCATCTAGCATGTCCTTTGAACCTCTATTTTACCTAAGGCTAGAGATAGAGTCAACATTGCCCCAATACTGTCAGTTGTCACCTATCAGATCATGTCTAACACAAAGTTTGATGCTCCTTTTCTTAAAATCACCATAACTTTAAACTATATATAAAAAATTATTTTTTCAAAACTAATAATGAAAATTATACTTATAAATAAATATATTATATTTAATAATATTTAAATAACATATTTTATTACATTAATTTTCTAAAAATTCTAAATATTATATCAAACATTATTAGAAATTAAACATTCTATAAAGTTATATCATAGGTAGAAAACTCAAATTAAAATTTTATTTTCTCAATTTAAGTTTTCTAGATAAATCCAAAATGAGTTTTCATTTTCTAAAAAAAAAAAATCAAAATCCGTATAGAGTTTTTTGAAAATTCAAAACCTGTTTTACTAGTTTGAACTTTTTAAATTTTTTTAATTATTTTTCGTATGCTTAATGCAACACATGTCATGAGCTTTTAAAAAAATCACCTAATATATACTATTTGTAGGTCCACATTTCGTTCGTGCAATTTTTTTATTTTTTTTGGATTTACATATATATCATTTTATTTCAAGCTATTTACATATCACAAATCTCAAAATCCTCACCATCCAGGAAAATAAAGGCCTAGATTTAACCAATTATTCCAGATTTTATTGGATGAATACCCATTCGTACTATATGATACACATGTTAGTAGCCATATAATGAACAAAATTGGATAGTATTAAATTAAATAAAATTTTGAACTGTATGAATACATGTTCATACTGTACAATTATTTTAGTCAAAGGTCATACCAAAAGCTTCCTTTGGATGAACAATTTTACATTGATCATCCAGTGTGATTCTAATCATACTGTACAATTTGACAGCTTTTTTCCTGTTCAACCAGGATGAATTAATTTCTTCTGATCATCGAGTATGATTTATATCAAATTATATGATTGGAAAAAGCCTATATAAGCAGGCAATTCCAAACATTCCAATCACACAATCCTTCTCCTCATAAGCTTCTAAATATTATCCTTGGAATTATGATGGCCGGTGGAAAGAGATCTCAAGCGCTTGCAGGAAGTTCTTCACATTGATTTATAGATGATAGGCTTACCACAATTGAAGATGAGTCATCTTACCATAGATATAAGGTGGCCTGCATCACTCCATCTCATATCCTGGATCAAAATATTCTCAATTATCAAGTTCTAAAACTATTTATAAACTAAACACTAGTCTTAAATTTATTTTGACTCTGCCTTTTTCTTTCAATTTTGCACTTCCTTATGAATTTTTTTGTGAATCTGAGAATTAATGCCGAGTATACCACCATGCATTCATATGTCTGTTGGCATCATGTAGAGGTCACCTCTTATGAACTTACTAAAATTTTATAAACTAAGGGAGATTATAACTAAACTACTGTGAATCTAACTCTTAGAAATTCCCTTCTGAATCAACACCAGCCACTTTCCATACACTTAATCATAATGCACATATCATCTAGCATGTCCTTTCAACCTCTATTTTACCTAAGGTTAGAGATAGAGTCAACATTACCCCACTACTGCCCGTTGTCACCTATCAGATCATGTGTAACACAAAGTTTGATGCTCCTTTTCTTAAAATCACTATACCTTTAAACTATATATAAAAAATTATTATTTCAAAACTAATAATGAAAATTATACTTATAAATAAATATTATATCGAATTAAGAGGTCCAGAGTTCGAGTCTATGTGTATGCTTTGTGTGTGTGAATTTGCCTTAAACGGCCTAAATATCCCAAAAAAAAATTTAGAAGTTAAACATGTACTAAGCATTTAACAAAGTTGTATGTATGTAATATTTTTTTATGCGGTTCCGAAGATTTCTCCATCTACTGCTGAGAAGTCGAGGCAAAAACCTTTGGCAGCTTTGCATAATCGCACACCAGCAATGACAGCTCCACTCGTCCGTCCTCGCCTGCTTCCCTTCCTCTTTCTTCTCGTCTACTTTTCCAATCTTTGCAAAATAATAGCTTCTGAGACACGTGAGCGAGAAATCCGATTCCCGAAACCCCAGTTTCCTTATCTTTCTGACGCCGTCGTCTCTCGCATAGCATTCGGCTCATGTGCTAACCAGAGCGCCCCGCAGCCTATCTGGAACGCGATCATCGATTTCGCTCCCCAACTCTTTATTTGGCTCGGCGACAACATTTATGGTGATAACCGCCGTCCCTTAAGGTTTTTCGGCCGTGAGGCCACCTTCGGCCCTTTGAAGAACACTCCTAGGTTCTTCCCGTCCGAAGAAAGTGAGATGCGTCGGCGCTATCAACTCGCTAAGGCCCAGCCTGGTTATTCCCAGCTGAGGAAACGTGCTCAGGTTACCTCGTTTTAGTATTGTTTTGATTTTAGATTATAGGATTTTAATGTCTTCAGTGGAAACCAATTGAACTTATTTGCAGGTTATTGGCACATGGGATGACCATGACTATGGATTGAACGATGCAGGGAAAGAATTTTCTGAGAAGAATACTAGTCAAAGGCTTCTGTTAGATTTCCTTGATGAGCCCGAAGATAGCGCTCGGTATTTTTTATAGTAAAGATATTATTGATAACTTTTTATATTTCTATTACTTTCATTAATGATTCCGTTTCGTTGATATATTGATAATTTCAACTTTTATATGAATGCCCGCCTAATGTAGTGCAAATGTGAAGTAATACCGCAAATTCGCACTTTTTTTAACTTGCATTGGCTGGAAGTTCAATTTAATTTTGTCATTTGATGTCAGCAAGTACAATAATTTAACAATGTAGTCAACTTCCATTATCTTTGAATCTGGTTTTAATTGTTTACTCATTTAATCTATTGGGAAAGTTAGTAAATCTTCCCTTTAATGTATGCGATAATAATAAGTCTGCGTGTCTTCTCTTTTGTAGGCGAAGACAAGCTGGTGTCTATGCTTCTTATTTGTTTGGCCCCAAGGGAAAGCAAGTAAAGGTTAGTGGTCTGAAATTTAGGCTTCCAGGTGGCTTTTATCTCCTAAAAGAATAATGAATCAGGCAAAAAAGTTCAAATTGTCTAATGATGTTTTATTCTTCCTATTCTTTTAGTATCATTGATTTTCTTAGTTATGACATTGCTGATGAAGTAGGTGACCAAAATTACTTGTTGAACTATACTTTTAATCCGAATTACAGACCAGCTCTGCTTCGAGTTGATTCTATCATGGTCTCTGGTTGTGCTTCCTCAGGTTATTCTTTTAGATACAAGATATCATAGGGATCCGTTGTTCAGTGATGGAACTATATTGGGGGAATCACAATGGGAATGGCTAGAGAAAGAGCTTTATGGTCCAGGTTCTGAAATTACGATTATAGCATCTTCTATTCAGGTAACTAGAATTTTCTTTTCCTTAAAAAAATAATTGATTCGTGAATTTTTATTTTGCATGTAGAAGGCTACTGCATAATCCTCACACTGACTGGAACTGTTTCCGAAAGAACCATTTATTGCATAATGACTGCTTAACGTGAGCTGACATATGATTTTTGAATTTTTGACCAAGCGACAGAAATGCAGTGGTATTATTTTAGCTCCCGACAGTTTGTTTACGGAATTTTTTTTGCAGTGAGTTTCTTCAGCAATTCTAGCAACAATTCACCAATTTTAGCAATTTTTTGCATTTCGGGTCACTTAGGAAAAGACTAAGTACCAATTATAAGATATTTGAATTCAGTATTTAATGAAAAATAAAATAAGCCCAATTAGCATTTGCTCATCTCGTGTTGCCCTAGCTTACAAAGTGCGTGAGGTGAGGGGTTCAAATCCAGCCTTGCATGGTTTAAAAAAAAAAAAAAATCATGCGATTAGTAGGTGTGAAGCTGTGGATATCGTAGATCTAAGTATACTGGTGAATGGGAATTTATATTCGAGGATATAACCTTCTGTTAAAAGTTAGTTGAAGGAAAATACTTTAGAATATGTTAGCACGTAAAGGAGAAATTATAGGGTTAGATAAGTGGTCTCCCAGTTTTTCTCAGTCATCTTTGAAGGGTTTATTAGCCCCTGTTTGGATAAGGATGCCCCACCACCCTTTACAATATTGGGATGAGATTAATATTAGCAGAATTGCTTCTAAGGTTTGAATACCTTTGATGATTGATGGTAACATGTTTCAGTGGGGTAGAAGAGAGTATGCGAGATTTTGTGTCCGGATCTTGCTAGATAAACAGCTTCAATTGGGAGTTTGGGTAGAACGTATTTCAGGCTGTTTCTATCAAAAAATTGAATATGAAAGGATTTGAAATTTCTACTTCAAATGTGATAAAATTGGACACATCATGAATGATTGTTTGGAAGTCATCGGAGAAGTCAAGGAAGTTCCTTATGTTGTTGTCAAATCTTCTGCTGTTGTAGTTGTTGTTGCTAAATCAGTATTGACTGTTAAAAGAGGCTTATAAAGAATAAAGTAAATTTGTTCATGATAGTTCTGTTGTTCAAACTAATGGGAATTGTCCGGATGATGATGGGAAAAATGTTAAGTATGGTCCTTGGATTCATGTTATTTATGGGACGAACAAGGGAAAACCTCTTAATAGAAGAAGATTTGTTCAGAATAATGTATGGGTTAAGAATAGTTTGAAGGCAGATCCATGTATTGAATCTAGGAATTCTAGAGGAAATCTTAATGGGTCTTATGGTGAAAATAGTTTGAAAAGGCCTAATTTAAAGACAGAACAAGTGAGTAATCCTTCTGTCAAAGAAGCTGGGAGCGATTTGCTGGCCAACAACTTAAAATTTTTCTTCAATACAATCAGGTGCTGGAGCAGAGTCCGATATGGATTCAATGCCTTTGTCATCATTAATTCTGTTTATTCCGGATAGGTTATTAGACCTACGCAATTGTCTCAATGCTAACCAAGAGGGGGGGGGGGGTGAATTGGTAATTTAAAAAACTCGGTAAATTTTAGAAAACCGATCTATAATTTTAGCACAAAATATTTTTCAACTATAAACATTAATGTGCGTAAAATAAAAATGCGGAAAATAAAAGAGAACAGAAAAATACCAAGTTTTATAGTGGTTCGGTCTAACTAGACCTACATCTACTCCCTGAAAACTCTCTCTTCAGGTATTGCACTATACCAAAGTGACTCTCTTTTTGCCCCCACTGCAAGGTGGAGAAGCTTTTACAATTTCTTTCTTCCACCAATCCCCGATGCGCAGAGAACTGTCGTCCTTTCACACCCTCCAAGTTTCGGTAGAGAATCGTCATCCTTTCACACCCTCCAAGTGTCTGCAGAGAACCGTCGTCCTTTCACGCCCTTCAAGTATCAGCAGAGAACCGTCGTCCTTCACACCCTCCAAGTGTCGGCAGAAAATCGTCGTCCTTTCACACCCTTCAAGTGTCGACAGAGAATTGTCGTCTTTTTTCACCCTCCTGGTGAAGGTAGAGAACCCACGACCGATGTTGAAGAACTTCACTTAAGAGCCTTCCGAGGAGATGGGCAGAAACTCTAAGGAAACAAAGAGGTCCTCACTTTGGGTAACCTTGTGAATCCCTCACTTGATCTCTCACTTTGGGTAACCTTGTGAATCCCTCACTTAAGAACCTACCCCCTCACTTGATCTCTCACACTTTACTCTCACAATCTCTACGAAACACTCACACTCAATGACCACTCTCAAGGGAAATTCACAACAAAGGTGTTTTGTGACAGTTTTTAGGACTCATATAGAAAGGATATGAAAAACCTTCCAAAAATTAAAAATTGCAAGAAAACTATCCTACGATCATACTATGTGATCGCATGCCGTCCCCTATGAATGAATAGTGTCCTGTACGAATTGCCTGTACAAATGTATAATGTCTCGTACGAACGTATAGTGTCCAGTACGAATCACTCGTATGAATGCATAGTGTCCCATATAAATCGTCCGTACGAATGCATAGTGTTCCATACAAATAGTTCAAATTTGTCTGTACGAACTGACATTATAATGTACGAACAATTCAAAAATTGAAAAAATTTGGCCGGTACAATTGTGTACGAACCCATTTCATACTCTGGTAGTCGTCTGTACGAACCCTACATCGTACAATACGAACTAGTTAAATGAAATCATGCTTCATATGGTACAAACATGGAGGAGCCCATTTCGTACTCTGGACGTCGTATGTACGAAGTAATTTCGTAAAGTACGAATAGTACGAAGAAAATTTTCAAGGCATGATTCGATTAACTTCTTTCTAGAGAAACACTCAGATCAAATCGTCCCGTACGATCCCAGAATTGTACAGTACGATTAGTTTAAAAAATACAAGTTTTTACACTCCCCCAGTGTGTGTGTACGATTATCCAATTACAATCATACTCTCTCAAACTAAAAAAAAAAGAAAAATTATAGACTTCATTACATGAAATCCTAATATAATATATTTTTAAGTCTTCGGCATTCTGGAGTATGATTTTTCTAAAATGTTAGTATACACACAAAACAAGTATAGAATGAAAAATACTATGAAATATAATGATGTGAGCCATAATATTTGTTATCATAAAAAATATAAACTCGTGAGTAATGAGTCGCAACAATCTCCCCCTTTTTGATGATGTCAAATATTACTGGTTGAATTTGCAAATTAAGTTTTATTTCTCTCATATTCTTCCCCTCATTAAGATAATCATTTTAAAAATAGGGAAAATTAAAACAATTTTTTTTTAAATAACAAAAAGATTTCTAAAAAAAAATTCTTGTACGAAATAAATACAATAGTACATTCTCCCCCTTAGACATTATCAAAAAAAGAGGAGCGCAAAAATAAAAATTTGAAAAAAATTCTAAAGATCAAACGGGCCCTAATCAGGTGAAGGTTATGTTATAGAAGAATCAGTTTGAAGTTTTTGCAAATTTTCTTAGAATGAGAAAGTTACCTCTTTATTTTATTCAAAAACTTAGTAGGACATGAATTGACAATACATAATCCAGAAAGGTTAGATATTCAAAATTTGTTAATCCTAGCTCAAGTTCCTTCAAAGGCTCAAAAATTTTTTAAGTCAACATCTAAATCAAGGAACAAATTAGATAAAGAAACACTAATCTTTTCAAAACTCAAGGAACAAATTAGAGAAAGAAACGCTAATCCTTTCATGAAATATATTTAATAAAAGATTAATGCAAAAATTGATAAATCTATAATCATGATTTTCAAACTCAAATATCAAAAGTATTAATAGATATAAGAGTTTTCTCAAGTTTTAAGAAATACAAGAAATGTAAGCAAATTTATTGTGGGCTCATTTTGTCTCTTTATTAATTTTTGGTGTACTTTCCGCAACTTTTAATTTTTTGATACACTTTGTATATCTTTTCAAATATGGCGTCATTGTGCATCTTTTTAGCTTTGGGCTCATTTTGTACTTCTTTTCTTTTTAACACTTAATGTAATTTCAAAAACAAAAGAAAACTCATTCTACTAGCAAAAATGAACTGCTTGATTAATAAAATAATGAAGTTGATTCAACAACTTGCAAAGATCCCTATGAGATAGAAAAAATTATGAAAAAAGTTTAATTTCAAAATTCAATTTATAATTTGATGAAGATTTTGATTCAAAAGTAAATTAGTCTCATTAAGAAATGAGATAGAGAGACAAAATCATGAGTTTTTTCTTTTCACTGTTTTTAGAGAAGTCAACCACAACTTACATAAAAATTCAATAAAATATGAGGTAAATGTTTCATTTAAAAAAAAAAATTGAAAAGTGATTTGATTCTCTAAAGTGTATAAAAAACAAAATGTGAAATGTGTGTTAATTAGAGTAATTTTACAAATGATAGAAAGAATATAAATAAACATATCTTAAAAAATAGCACAGAAAATTAAACACATTCACAAAAGAAAAGAAAAAAAAATGCACGCACACATTAATAACATACAAACAAAATTTTAAACATCATCTTGCTTCTAGTCTGATGATTCAGAAGTTAGGTCTGCCCAAAAAATTTTTTACTTTTTATCATTTGCCATTATTACAATTTGCTTATTTTTACTGTTTTTCATTATAGGAAAAGTTTTTAAGTTCAGACACTCATTTTTAATATGACTGGATTTTCTTCACCCAAAGCAAATTACTTTAGAGAAATTCATAATATTCTTATCATTTTTACATTTATTCCTCTTTTATTGATGTTGATGCTTGCACTTTAGTAGCTTTTCAAATTTTCTCATTATCGATGCTGTCTCCTTACTTTCATCATCTATTGAGTTGATTTTTTCCATGTCGTCAATTTTTAGCACTATCATTTCACCTGCATTCAAAAGTCTGACTCACAGTTTGCTCATTAATAATGAGTGAGCCATTTAAGTTATCAATAGTATAATCATTCA